CAGGGAAGTTGTCATTGCTTCTAGGAGGCAGTAATTGAGGCCAGCCCATTTGCCGGTGGCTCTAGGCGGATGGGGGCGGGTCAGCGGATGGGGGCGGGTCATCGTCTGGCTGCTCTTTGTACTTGCTGCTTGCTCTCCATTACTCCGGGCTGCTGCGGGTCAGGAGAATGGAGGTCAGAGACGGGGCCTTGGCCAGAAGAACGTGGCAGTGGCGCCTTCTGTCCCATCCCCGACGACTGCCCACCCGACCTGTCCTTGGCCTCCCTCTCCCCGCCCTGGTCGCCCGAGGACTGGTCCCTGGCAGCTTCCTAAGTGATGGTGGGCTTCAGGGTTCCCCTCGGTGCCAGCCCAGCCCATCTTTCTCCTGGCTCGTCATCCACAGGCAGTGGCCCGGCCCGGCCTGCGAGGCTGCCACCTTCCTGGCCCCGCTCCTGCATTTGGGTTTCCCCAGCATGTTTTGCAAATGGCTGGGCGCTCTGGACGCTGGCAGACAGAGATGCGATTCCTCCCCAGGCCCCTGGGTGGGTTTGTGGGTGTCGGTATGTCACCCCCTCGGGCTAACCCACTGTCTGCAGGATCTGGTCCCTGCAGACTGACACGGCGCCCCCCACCAACAGTGGCGCTCAGGGGACTGTTCAGACGCAGGGAGGCCCGCGGCGGGAGCCATGCCAGCTGCGTGCACGGCGGCCTGGCTTCGCCCTCCCCGACCCCCCCTCCTGTCCTCCGCTGCCCAGACTCCAGGTCCCTCTCCTTTCTTATCCCCAGGGATGGCCCCTCCCCGAAGGCTCCAGAAGGCCACACAGCTTTAGTTTAGTTCCCTTTGCCACAGTGACTCACTTGGAACGCCCCGGGGCTCCCAGGAGCTGGCCTGCTTCTGTAGCTGCTTTAACTAGAATCCTGTCACGCTCTGGACTAGTTGAGTCACTGAAGCGCCTACCAGTTAGCAGCCAGATGCCGTGGAAGCTGATTAGGTTTAAATTAAGAAACAAGTAGTCTACCGCCATGCCACCCTGAACAAGCAGGTCCCGTCTGATCTCGCAGGCTAAGCAGGGTTTGGCCTGCTCAGTCCTTGGATGGGAGACCACCTAGGAAGACCAGGTGCCGTAGGCATAAGAAGTAAACAATAATGAGAGATTGTAAGCTGACAAGGTCCTTGCAATCTCTGAGGTCCACCAAGGGCTGCCTTGCCTAAAACAAAAAAAAATGTAAAAGACAAACCTGCTCTCTCCTTCCTCCGTAAAGATGGCCAATTTCTAAAAGGCCAAGACCCTGGTGGGCAGGCTCCAACCGAGAGCACAGTTACCGTGGCACCAAACATGAGATCAGCCCAGCCCGGGACGCGGCAGCCCCGGCCCCGGACCTTCTGATAGGGCAGGAAAACACGTCCTCGCTGCAGAGCACGTGGCCTGCGGCCCTATACGATCCAGGAGGACTTAGGAACAGCCACGTGCCCGGCAGGGGACAGCTGAGAGAATTAAGGCACATGTATAAGATGGGAGATCCGATCTAAAACGAAAACCTAATTCAGTTTAAATTTTTCAATGGTTTTGTTTTTAATTGTAAAAGAATAACTAACACGTTAGACATAGTCTTTGAGCTGTTCGAGTGTTGAGTAGAAAACGGTATAAACTTGTAAATCGCATCATCGGGATAAACACAAAGAACTTCCCACACCCGGAAAGGCGCCGGCACATGGTTTACTGAACCACATCTTGGAAACGTCGGTAGAATTAAAGAACTGTCTGCCGTGGCTCATCGTTAGAGCAGACGGTTTCGTACGCAGAACGGCCACGTCATGGAAAATCTGTGAAGGGCGGTGAATGGAGTGGAGTTCATCGCATTTACTATGAGCTCAGAAGCTCCTGGGTCAGTTACCGCTACAGGAAGGAAGCCACCGCATTGGTCCCTTCTGTCCCCTCTTCCAGGTGAAGTGTCAGTTGGAGGAGAAGACAAAGAAGAAGTACCCCATTTTTAAGGCTGTGGAGTTCAAGAGCCAGGTGGTCGCGGGGACTAACTACTTCATCAAGGTGGGGTCCTGTGGCAGCCCCCGTAGCACGTGTGTGTGTGCACGCGTCAGCCTGCGTGGAGGTCAGGCCTGAGCTTTGGGGGCAACCGAGGACTGCAGTGGCGTGAACGAGGGGTGCCGAGGATGCACGCTGGGGAACCATGCTGGAAGGAGGGGGATGGGAACGTCGCCAGCCCGATGCCGGTGCTCGGCGGGGACGTGGCTCCCCGGGTCCCGGGCCTTCCTCACACAGCCCCGGCGGGCGGGGGGCTTGGGTCAGGGGCCGCGCCGCCCCCTCACTCCACCCTGTCTTTTCAGG